AAAATAAAGGTGTCTCTAACTTGGTGGGGTTTTGAGGACTGAGTGAGGCTTTAAAAATCGAAGTCAATAAACACCCGCCAGCTTTGTAATGTAGGCTTGGGCGCCACTGAAGTGCTGAAGGAAAGTACACCAAAACGATGCAAATGTATATACGTTGGGCACCCAGGTCGGAGGCCCATGAAACTAAAACGTTTGCTACGGCATGCTCATGATATGGAGGCAGGTGCAAACAAACACCATAGAGGAATGTATGAGGTACGGTTTGGTTTCAATGTTCCCCGGACAGCTCATGTATGCTCCCACGAATGTTCCATGAGGAACCTATAACCTGCAAAGCCACTCACAAAGTGTAACACCACATGGGGGGCTCCAAGAATTCTGGGGCCCCTTTCAGGGTTCAAAAAACATAGATACCTTTTGGACAGCGAGACGTAGTGAACAAAAGTAAAGCTTCGCTCACTTAGCTAGGCCTGCATTCAAGATCTTGACTGTTAGACCCCCGGATGAAATTTTGAAATGGAAACGCAAATATCTCTAATCCTATAAGCCCCAAACTTCAAACCCTAAGCCCTAAGCCCCAAGCGAACTCTATATGAACTTTCTGTGGTAGCTGCTCCCCGGGCTTGCGCAGGTATCGAGACAGCGCTGGCCAGCTTGGACCTCATAGGCTTGTGCTCTGAGTCGAGCTTGCGATGTGAGAACTGCTTTTGACTACATCTTTCCAGGCAACCACTCCAACAAAATTGCCCGAGCCCACGATGCTCCAATTACATGCGATGTGCAGCTTAGACACATCCAAGAGAACCACAGGCAGCATTGAAACCTGCAGTCAGGTAACACAGCACGTGCGTTTCGGGAAAGGGCACGCATGCCACACAGCTACAAAGATGTGCCCTGTGGTATGAAGTAGTAGGCAGGCAGAACCATGGCCCACGTATGCTCGATTATGCTCGCTTGCTTTACAGCTGTCCCAAATCTGCACATAGCTGAGACTGGGGCCCAGCGTGCAGCAAACAAGCTGTTGGAGCACTGGAATGCACGTGACAAGGCTGAGCAAGGGCGGTCATGTATGTTTCTTCCACTGTCACACTCTCCCTGCTAAAGACATCTGGCGCGCAAGGCATCACTCATACAACATCCCGGAGCCCTTGCCCTTGGCTCATGCTGTTTCGTGTGCTGTTGCCTGTCTCTGCTGGTGATGTTGAATGGGCCACTTCGTAGCTACAACACTTGGTGCCACAACACCTGGTGCCACAGGATTCTCCGGCCAATCTAAGCACACGCAGTGCCAGTGCTGAGGAAAGAGCTCAAGCTTTTGCATGCCCCTGCTCGCCTCTTCCATGCGGTTCACGGTGCCCTGAAGGATTCTCAGTCTTTTGGATTCAAGGAATTTGTTGAGTGCTGCGATGGGTCTTTCAGCAGGAAGACGATCTTTAAAAAGCCATCGAGAACGAGCTGGAAGCATGGGAACTGCTCTGATGGAAACATGAGGCGTCAACCTGTACTTCCTTTCAGCTCCTATATTCCACCTTGGCAGTGTGCTCGATGAGCATCTCGTGGAGCGGCTTGAATCGTGCATCCTCGGAGGCAATGAGCTTCAGCCGCGGGGCACGAGAGACGGTCAGATGGAAGACGCTAGGGGATAAAGAAGCCCTGATGGGACCTGGGTAACCGTGCAAATGGAAGCCCAAACGCGAGGTGTTTTTTGCATTGTTGGATTGATGTGCGCGTTTCTCGTCCTCTAAACCTAGTTGGGTCTAATCCGAAAACCACATGTACACACGCAAGATACATACCTCGGCAGGAACTCAATCAGTACGAGCTTCAACATATGTGTCAAGAAGAAGCTGTCATTTCTAACTTTACCAGCAATACGGTAATGAATCCTACTTAGGAAACAGAAATGTTTAATAGACATGCTCATAGACAACGTAGGAGTTTTGGAAGTTGCATGGGTAGAAGCTGCCGTAGCAACTGCCATAGATGCTCTTAAGGGATGCCTTACAGGAATCCTAAAATGAGAACTCTAATTGATAGAAGCGTTGGTAAAGACTTCATTAGAAGCTCAAATAGCAACTTTTGCACCGTTAGCGGTAATCGAAGCTTGACTCAGAGCTGCAATGGAAGGTTGACTGGGAACTCTACCAGAAGCGTCAATAGACGTTTTAGCAGAAGCCTCAATAGTAGCAATAGAACGTTGAAAAAGATTCTTTATTAGAAGCCTTATTCAAAGTGCCCTAAAACTCTAATACAAAAGCATTTACGGAAGCTCCACTAAAATGACGACAACTGGGCATGTGTCGGGGCTTGATGGAATTGGTGAGTAAATGAGCCGAGTATCTTTCCGCAGCACTGTCTTCGGAATGTCCACCTTTGCCCAGACTCTGCTTAAAGCCCTAAGTAGGCTTTAGTCAAGTGAAAGTGGCTAAGGTGTTTGAGACGGATTCACCTGTAACATGAGACTGTGCAGAGTCAGAAAAGCCAGAACGTGTGTGCATAAAGATCGTCAAAGGAATATCTTACTACTTTCCTCTGGTAGTCGACTTTATCCCATGTACCTGTTCCGTTGCCTGTTGAAGAAATGGCTTTGCAGACTCTGAATGCAGTGAATCCATTACGTTGCAAACCTGTTTGAAAACCCCGCAGATTGCGCAGTTTGATGCTGCAAAAACCAGCAGACTACAGGTCGTCCCAATGACCCAACGACCCTGTCCGGCCCAGGCACGCGCCATCCCAGCTCCTCCGGCATCCAGGCCAGCGTGCGCACGCAGAGCCTCACCGTAGAAACCTTTCCTTATCCTATCCTAGGGTTTAGGGTTTAGGGTTTAGGGTCTTAAGGACAGCGCATGTCTGTTGCATGAGCTCCAGGGTGGTGGATGCAAACTCCTCACGATCAACGCCCCTAACACTATTCACGTGTCCTTCTACCGCTACTACTGCTGCTAATACTGCTGCTGACGACCACTGCCACTACCACTACCACTACTACTACTTCTACTACTACTTCTTCTTCTACTTCTTTATCATCGGCAGCATTGCCATCACGGTAACACTCTGCAGTTGCTACTACTCCCCCTTTCTTCTGCCCCAGCTACACTTTCGACCTGGCCTTGGACAGTGGACTCTCGACAAGAAATGCTGAAATACAAACTTGGGGTACAATTTACCGGGATCCATGTTTGGGCCCCCTATTACGGTAACCCTTATCAACAAACCCGATAAACAAGTACACAAGCCAAGTTTCCATCATATTTTCCGTGCTCTTTTCCATTAGATTCTCCATTTTAGGGGCGGTAATATCCCCAACGTAATATCCCTAAACCCTCAACAGTAGCGGCCAATTTCTTCGGCTCCCATATGTATGTCACATGAGCTACAGTCTTAACTCCTAGTATCCCTCTTAAAAAGCCCTATAGTATTCCCCTATATAATCCCCTATATAGCCGCCTTTAAGAAGTTTAGACTATGGCTCACATTAAACCCTAACCCCTATAAACTACCCTATAATCCCAGTTTCCATTTCATTGGTAGACCCTCTGCAGGTTTGCGCGGAAAACCGGTCGAGCGTGCAGCCATCTTACCGATGTCCATTTCAGGGTTGTGCTGGCCCGTCACGTGCTGTGCCTGCAGTTCTTTTAGGGGCTCTCAGACTTTCTGTCCCATACTTCGTCATGCTTAGCCCGGAGGAGATGGCTGAGCTGTGGGAGCTCGAGGCCCCGTCTATATATGGCTTGGCTCATGCCCGCGCGGCGGTCTTGGACTCACCCACATGGTCTACACCGGAGATGGAGGACTCGGAGAGCGAGCCGGACAACCCCTCCTCGACTCTCGGAGTTCCGAGCAGCGTGCCAGACGATGCCATGTCCGACGGCCCAGGTCCGTTGGCTCGCTGTCAGCTGGCATACAATCTGGACTTGCCTTGCGACATCGACCTGGGCTGCTTTCAACCTGCCTCCAGGCAAGAGGCTGACCTCAAACGAGCAATGCACTATGGCCACGTTCTGGCGACGGACCTGTGCTCAGTCATACAGACCCTTCCTACTAAGCCAAGACCGATTCATCAGGCTGAGGCATATGGTGTTGTCCTGCCGCCGCTGGTCTTCGGGGCAGGGCGTATGTTCATGGCCCTATGCGAGGACTGCAGAATAATACCCTCCGACACGAGTTGGTTGTGCTAGCATTGGCCTTGGTGATCAGAAGCATGGCTCCGGGTCACAAGTTCTCCTCCTTTGCCGTCTTGCAGAATGTTTCTTCACGACTTCATCGAGATCAGCACAACCAGCAGGGCAGCTCCAACTTAATCTTTCCTCTCACCTACTTCGAGGGAGGCGAGCTTTGGGTTCAGGCGCATCTAGCATGGCTGGCCACAGGGGCCAAGTCTTGCCTCTTTTGCAGGACGGAGTACCGACCCCGCAGACATTCGATCCCCATGTGCTGCACTCCACATTGCCGTGGAGCGGGGACCGCGTCGTTGTGGCTGCCTACACCATCCGCGACTCGGGGAAGCTTAACGTGCACGACTGTGCAGTTCTGAGCCGCATGGGCTTTCTTCTCTAGGTGGGACTTGCAGTTGTTGACTGCATCACTCATGGTCTGGTGAGTCACACCAGCCTACTCGTGCACGGTTGCAGAGTGGAGCCCCTGGCAGAAGGTCAGTCCCTGACTACCAGCAGTGCGGCAAAATAAGTGTTTTCAGAAGCTTCTGACTGAGTAGGCTGTTTCTAATTTCGTTACGCTCAGTTGACACACAGAAGCCGCTAGTCAGACCTGCCTGCCCTCTGCTCCTGTTTCTCCCAGGCCGGACATCGGGGTCCGCTGCAACAACAAGCACAGGCCCACCCTGCGAGTTTTAGCGAGTCCCAAATACAGCTGATCCTCTCGTGTGCCTGGTTGACATCAGCATCGGCATCATGCTCCTGGGGTCAGCGCTTTCTTTAGGCTTAGCCAGCGGGTAGACTAGTCGGTAGGCAGCAGCCTCGATTGCATCCCCCGCGCTCGTCATGCTTCTGTGCCTCGACGACAAAACTGTCCGGGCCGTGCTGGCGTGCCTGACAGTTCCCACTGGCCTTGCTTTCTTCCTGGACCGAGATGACCCCACGCCGTCTCCTGGCACTCTCCTGGCAGCTTGTGATAAAGCCAGGCGCCTGCGTCCTTACCTGGAGGCCGCAGGTGGTGAGATTGGCACTGTCGATCGCGGCTTTATCATTTTCACCAATGTGTTCCCTGCGGATATCTATGCAGCGCTGGCGCCAGTTTCTAAAGCTTTTGCTGCTAGCATCAACCCTATGATGCTCGAGCTTGGATCGCTGCAGCCTCACATCCCGGCCAATGACCATACGAGGTACGAGCACCGACCGGACGGAGCCAGAATCTACATGCATTTCCGGGACATCTTGATTGTCGAGTGGCGTAGGTTGGTCACGAATCGATTTCTGACTACTCCCTGACTGAGCCACTGGCTGCACCAGCGAAAGCCACTGGCTGCACGCCTAGTTTTGTAGCAGCAAGGCCTGAGATAGCCTCTGGCAGCTGGTAGGACATACCCGCTGCAGCCTGCGTTCAAAAGTGGGGTTCCTGCCTGCTAGGCTTGCATCTTGGGAGTTGTGTCAGATGTGCTTGATGAAACCATGCGCACAGCATTATGTCACACCCCATATCAGGTTTGCAAGCCAGGCGCGAGCCGGGAGCCGACCGGGCTCTACAGCTTTTCCTTGCATTTGTCCTCCGCAAGAGCTGACTGCCGCCATGATTCCTGACTCGAACTTTCTGTGATGACGAAGACATCTGGCAGACTCTTCTAGATCACGCTGGGAAGCACAGCAGGGACTTGCACAATGTCTTGCAGAGCCCTGCCCAACGAGCGGACCTGTTCAGGTACGTGTACTTGTATGAGCATGGTGGCCTCTACCTGGACATCAAGTGTTCGCTGAAAATGCAGTTTGATGAGCTCCGGTCCTGCTTAGCTGAGGAGTGGGGCACTGCCCAGGCCTATGCGCACTCTGCGCTGGGGCGCTGCCCGTCCCCACCCGGACAGCTTCCGAAGGACTACATGGTCATGGCCATAGGCAACCGTGGCGATCACATCTTTCAGGGCATCATTTACTGCCGGCTACTCCTGGAGGCCATCATCCAGTTCTACAGCCCGACCATCCTCGAGCGACTACCACTCTTTTGCAAATTTCTCTATGGTGCCCTCAGGCAGAACCTGGGACATCCCCCGCAGCACCGATGGAACGTCTCCAGCAGATACGGCCCGATTTACCTGTTGAGGGAGCGTCACAGCAAGGGTCTCCAGGCTCACTCGGAGATCCCCACGGATGGCCACTACATGATCACGCGCCACAACAAGATAGCCATGTTCACTCGGTGCTGGAACTGGAAGAGAGGCTTCGCTGGGGACCTGGCAGCCAAGGCAAGGAATGAGGCGCAGATGCTCCGCTCTATGCCATGATGCGGCTTGGGCTAGAAGTCAGGCGGCATCTCCCACAAGCTCGGCTTCCGGAGGCGACGCCCCCACAAATGCGGAGCTACAGCAGTGGGCGGATGAGGCCATTGCGGGCAACGAGAAGATCATGGACGCCCTTTCCCAGACAAAGTACTATCAGGATCTGAATGGCAACGACGTCCTTGATCTCATTCTCAAGGGGCTTTGCCTCTCTGAGGACCAGCCTGGCTATCTTAGTTGCAGACACTGCCTCAACAAGAAGTCTCGGAGGAATGTTACCTTTCCTACCAGCATTGGGGTGGTCAACCACTTTCGCCGGGGCTCGTATCACACGCCGAACTCCTTTTTGACGGACCAGCTCCCCTCTACGACAGCTACCGTCGGCCTCTGGCCACCTGGTGGCCGCCTTGCTCGAAGCCGGGCACATCGCCTGCGACAGGCCTGGCGTCGGGTATAGCGGAGGGCCCAGGGCCCAAAACCTCTAAACCGAGGCCTCCAAGTATGCACCTCACCTCCGTCTTGGAAGTGGTGTTCAAGCCTCCCGCCCCTCCAGGTCCGCCAGGTCCGCCCCTCCGCCACCTAAGCCACAGCTTCCAGCGGCAAGCCTGGGAAAGACCTCTGTAAAGGACACTGGCACCCATGACACGCGCATTCCTGACTCCGACTCGCAACTACCAGCCTCCCAAGCCAGACCAGCCTCCGGCTCAGGAGGAGCCATCTCCGCCAGCTCTGCCCCCCTCCTTGAAGGAGGAAGCAGGCCTGGTTGCCGCGCTCAGTCCTATGAGCTCCAGGAGTGGCTTCGAGTCCTTTGCAGGATGCATGTTCTGACGCAGCAAATGCTACTTGGTGGCCTGGAGTATGACGAGCTATTGCCGCTTTGGGCCAAGCGGATGAGGGTGATACCTACCCCCCCTCCTCTGTTTGAAAGCATTAAGCTGGCCAGGACAGAGAGGGGAGTAACGTGGCACGTTATCGAGACGGCCAAGCTTGTCGCTGCGGACAATGGCTTAGTCGCGGTTGCTACAGGCAAGGACGAGACATACACTGTCTTGGACCGCGGCTCCAAGCTCCAGGGTGCTCTCTCTGCCCTCTTCGGCAAAATGTGGGACTACCCGCCGCTGAGCGACATAGTGCAGGACAACAACCGCTTCATGCTTATTGCCACCTCTATCAAGGCCGTATACGACCACACGGCTCGCAAAATGCAGTTGCAGGCCAGACTAGTCGTGGCGCAGCACGGCAAGCACGTGCATGTCAAGCACAACTGTGGCGATTCTCCGACATACCTTCAGCATCATCCGGAGCTAGCCCAGACGGCTACGAAGCGCCAACGCACACAGCATCGTAGCCTTCCACCGAGCCGTGTTTCTCGAGTTGAGCCGTCCGCGGCTCCTACGCCAAGCCAGGCGTCCTCTTCCACAATGCGGCCTACCGAGCCTCCCTATCCACCTACTCAAGCAAGGGAGACGTGGAGTTGGAACGACTGGGGATCATGGAGCTCCTATGGCAACCGCCAGAGTTGGGAGGCAGAATGGGAGGGCAGGTGGTCCCGCCATCACTGAGCCTGCTTTGAGAGGAACAGGCTGGCCCAGCACTGCTGACCTCTTCGTGGACTCTTGCGCCAGCCAAGTGAGGGATACAGCAGTAGCGATAATTAGGCCGCATTTCTCGCCAGGTTGAGGGTCGTCTAAGGCGCCCAAATTGGACCCTTTTTTGATGCACAGCCCTGAAGTTGAGCGCAAAATGGCCTCCCTAGGCTCTTTCACGGCCGCGCATCACAGCCATAGGAGAGCCCTTTCTTGCGACGACGTGCCAGGTAGCCTGGCTGTCAGCCTCGGACACATTCTGAGTAGCGTGCTGATGCTAGGCTCGGTGGAGGTCCAAAGAGCCTCGTTTGCTTGCGACTGGGGCCCCAGCGACGGAGCAGCCGAGTCTAGTGCGTAGGGTGCATTAAGTGGACTTTGTGTGGTGGCCTGGAGTACTCTATTGTTTTCTATTTGTCCTATGGGCCTCTGGGTATCCCCCTTTGTTCGATTTTTTCTCCCCGGGCTGCAGACAAATGGCTAACCAACACTCGCTGTTTCACTCGGAGTGAAAGGTCAGAAGCGCCCGCTATGCTCAGAGCACGCTCGAGCTGCGTTCAATGCAAATTTCCATTTGATTCTCCAT